CCACCGCTGTTGCCAAGAGATCCCGTCAGCATTTGTGTCTTTGCATCCTCCAAGAGACACGATGACGAGGCGGACGATATGCCAGAAGCATCAAGATGTGTCTTACCGATAGATGATGTATCCAACAATGAATCCCGCGAGCAGACCGCAAAACACCGCGAGTGGGAAGGACGAGGCGGGTAGACCCAAGCCAACACCACCCACATAGATGACAGCCTCCAGACCTTCACGTAAGACGGTGATGAATGGTAACATGAACATCACATATTTCTCCGACCAACGCTTGATCCGTCCGCCCGACGACTCGTCGGGGTTCTTTTCGTGATTCAAAGCCTTGGCCAGCTTGAGGCGCCATTTCTCTTGGATTTTCGACACCCGCAGTAAAGCTGCACCCATAATGGTGATGATGATGGCGGCCACAATACCCAGCACACCCTCCCAGATATCTTCCGTGGCGGAGAAGGTGTTGGTGCCGAGGCCGTAAAAGGCACCGATCATGCCGGCACCGACCGCCAGACAAATAGCGATACCCAATGCGCATCCTAGCCATACCTAAACGCGAGTGCAATTGGTTAGACGAGCACACAATTTCGCAATCTGCTTTGCAAAGGAGAGAAGCTCACCTGTCTGACCAGCTTCTTATAAACTGTCTTGTCCTCTTCGGCTCCTAGAGTCTGCTTCAAAAATGCCAGTAGGACCGACACCACCACTGTCGTTTCCAGACATTCTCGGAAGAGAATAAAGAAGACTATATGGCGGGATTTGGTGTTAGTCTTGCGATTTGCGGAGCAATCGATAACGACCAACAGCCGCGCAGGCACATCATGATGTCCATGGGAATAGCGTACCAGTGACTGCAAAGACCGGATTGGCTCCCATCGTGAGTACTCTCAAAAGGGCCGGGTAAGATGAGAGACGGCAGTTCAACGTTCGAGGGATCAGAAAAGAAGGTTCAGTCCAGGCTCAGGGTCCGAGTCCGCATCCGCACACGCGCGCCAAAAAGCAAGGGATGTGAAAAAACAATCAAGCTTCCATCCAGAAGGAGGGATAGGAACTGATTGATAAGGGCCGGTGTGAGAGAATTTAATCTTTCTGGTTGGTCTGCCGGTCTGTTGATCTCGGTTTCCCCCGTGCAAGTCCGGCGCTTGGGGAGTTGAAAATTACAAGCGTACCGAAGCCAAGGCGTTAGGCTCAGTTGGGGATCCACTTCAGTTCCATATCTGATCATTTGAGTCAATGACCGGGCCTGGTGGTACTGCTGTGGATCCACTCAGACTCGGCCAGCCTGATTCATTCGGGGAAGCTTGTGGTAAGGACTCGAGCCAAGCCCAACGCTGTGCGATGGACTCGATCACCCCCCTCGTTGCAATCGGGACAGCTGGTCCGCGGATTCATGGCTGCAAGTGTTCGTCACGAACGAATAAATTTCCTGTTTGGAGGGGCTTAAAATTGTGCAGGAGAATAACGGTTTGTCCATACATATCCGAACGACGATCGTGCTTCCCGCAAGCCCCCATGTGGGACGATTGATGCGACAAAATGCGGTGTTTCGTGCCCCGCGGCTTTTTCTGTTGAGGATGCGGGCAAAGTCGGTCCTCGGATGAGTCGAGTGACCCGAGTCCAATGAGAGACTCGATCGTCGTCGCAGCATCAAGCCATTACGCTAGTCTCCACTCTCCAGCTCGCATACGAGGGGCCCATGACCAATTGCATGATCAACCAGGGTTCACGGGCAAGTGGAGACTGTCCGGATTTGCGTGCGGAATGAGTTGAGCGACTTTTATCTGATTGATATGATCGTTTCGAACGATCGGATAGACCAAGCCAACTGATTGATAAAAAATGTGCCCGGCTTTTTGATTCACGCGACTGGCAGGATCATTCGGTCCACCTTTCACTTACCTTGTTTGGTACCGTCGTCCGAGGCGTGACGACCCGGTGTACCACTACAGTGAGACATGCTTCCTTCGGTTCGGCGATCGTCAAGTTTGCTCAGAAGCACTTCCGTGACAAACGGACAAGAAGTGAATCGTCTTGGGCCCGAGACTGGATGGTCCGCAAGATGGTCTAGAGTTGATTCTAAAGGATATTGTGTTGTCAGCAACAGTACTCAGCATCGAGTCAGTACTGTCTATACTTGGTTGGCAATTTACACGTCGTCGACTTCAGATCGCGAGCGTTCATCTAGCGTGCGTAACGAATTTTCCTCGGCTGCGGCCGAGTCCTTGGCCTGTGATCGGTGCTCTTCCCAGTAGCACTTGAGCGTGAAAATCACGCTGAGCAGGATTCCAAGCCCTCCCAGTCCTATCGCAAAGTAAAGCGCACCTCGGTACCCCTTGAGGACGTCTTCGGGTGTTTTCCCACCGTTGTTGACATGAATCTCGACTGTTCCCGCGAAGCCCAGACTCAGCGAGATACTGTAGTTCACCACAGTCGTGACCAATGACGCAGCAATACCCTGGTGCTTTCTCTCGACCGAGTCGGACAACAAGAGTGTCGCTGCTGGGAAGGACATGTCCATTCCCCATGGGATGACTAGAAGACAGACGAATGTCAAGGCCCAGTATGTCTGGTCCACCGGAGCTATGGCTGTAAAGATGTTTCCAAGGGTGAACGCTGTCATGGACATGACCATAATCCATCCTGGTCGAATCCGGGCAATCAACAGTCCAGTCACAAAGCAAGCCACAATGCCCACCGGGGCTGCTGGCACGAACTCTGCTGAGCCCAACAGAGGACTGGTGTTTCGGAACTGAATCTGGAATCTCCAGAAGTACCAGATCCAAGTTCCGAAAGCGCCCCATCCACACGCAACACAGCCCAGCACGAAAGAAACATCTCGGCTGAAAGCGTGGAAAGGGATCAGAGGATGCTCCGCAAATCGGAACTCCACCACGAAGAATCCAATAATCAACAGAATGCCGACAATTAGCAGTATGTAGACATACGGCGTACTCCATCCCGCGACGGGAGCTTGGTTCCAGGCGATATTGATCAGGACTAATCCTCCGACGCCACAAATGCCTCCCAAAGCGTCCAACGCCTTGAATATTTCAGCCCATGTATTCAAGGGCGGGTTAGAATCATGGTGTATGGATGGGACAACCATGAGACCTAAGCCCGCACACGCAATCGCGACAAGAGCTTGCGTCCAGAACGTCCACGGCCACCATGCAAGTTGCGAGAAGAGAGCGCTGAAGACTGCACCCAATACAGCGCTATTGGGTGCCACCGCACCGAATAACGCAAAGACCATGGCCTTTTTCTTGCCCGGTGGGTACGTCGCACCCAGGATGGCCAGCCCATTGGGAAGCACCATGGCAGCTCCAATGCCCTGCAAGACACGGGCAAATATGAACAAGATGTGATTCGAGTACACACTGAGACCGGCGACCAACGACCAGATTGCGATCCATATGAACCCCGAGAGGAAGATTCGTCGATATCCAAAGAGATCGCCACATCTGCCAAAGATCAAGATGAAGGTTCCAACGGTCAGCGAATAGCCGGCCAAGAACCAGCTCAATATCCCAGAGTCTGTGATGCCGAAACTGGCGCCGAGAATATCAAGGTTCGATAGGCAGACTCCAACATTCGTTTGGGTCATAAATTGTGCCATGCAGACAACCGTGATAAAGAGCGCTTCGCGGCATATCGAGAATGACTGTGCCAAGGATGGCGCTACAGATGCCGGCTTGGGTGACTGATCCCTCTCCATTTGAAGCGTTCAAGGTGTCAATGCAAAGTCCTTCGAGAACTGACTCAGATAGCACTAAGGCAAGTCGAGATGTCTGTGACAGACATCTGATGGTCTCAATGATCAGAGAAGGAGGGAACAAAATCCAAGGCGGCTTTTGTTCTCAAGATGAGTAGAACATGTCAAATTCGATCATTTTCCTGGCTATTCGGCACATCTTTGGGCTCGGCTGCCGAAACAGGCTTGAAAAAGTGGCCCCGAGACGATCTTCACCGATTCGTTACCAAGGTAGGCTTCTTTGCAACCCAGAAATTCTCAGCACCAGAAGACCAAGAGCTTGGGCTCTTTCATCGTTGTTGCTGAGATCATGGGACATCAGTACTCTGGGGCTATCCAGCAGGGAAACGGTCAAGAGACTGACAAAAAAGACACTGAGCACTGAGCGCGATTTGAACGCGCGACCTCGGGATTTGCAATCCCACGCGCTAACCCCTGAGCCACCAGTGCTGGTGCTCGATGAGTAAGCTTCATATATGGTGAATAATGACTACATCGTGCATGCTGTTCTATCATCAATCAGCCATTGTTGGAAGCCAAAGGTGCACAGGTGCGGAAGTCAGCATGCGCTTCGACAACGAATTGCCAGACCACCGCACCCTTATTTACATGTTTATACTTGCTCCCACTTGATTTGATTTAGCTATAGTATATTTATTTCTCACTAAAGTAAATTTGCACCCTGAACCCGACCATATCGGCTAGCTATTGCACGGCTAGGTATTCCTCATTCATTCTCTTTGCAAGATGATTGAAGGTAACGAACGGGTCTAATGTCTTTATTTGGCTGCCAAGTCAGCTTCTAATTTGGTTGAGAGCAAATATTGTCAGATTACATTTGCCTACTGTGGCATGTTCAATGAATCGACTACTCTAATGGCCTCTATGTTCTTAATCACGTGTAGCAGACTACTTGGGTCACTGGAGAATACACTCTCGTTGTCACTCCATCTCACTTCAATCATAGGCAAGTGTGCACCGTAATAGAGAACTGGTGCTATATGTGTTTACCAAGCATCTTCTAATAAGTTGTCTCTGTCTAAACTCTGACCGCCGTGTCCCTAGTTGATCTACGTCGTGAATAGGCCGAGGACCGTGTTTCACTTGATAGGGGTATGTGCAACCTTGTCTTTTTCTACCTGGCCAGCCACTGTCCCTATGAAGCTGCTTCGAAGAAAAGCGATGAGCGAAAGACCTTGTTTGGAATCTATATGATGAGAAAATATCCGTTGCAACAGCACAGCAAGCACTGGTGGCTCAGGGGTTAGCGCGTGGGATTGCAAATCCCGAGGTCGCGCGTTCAAATCGCGCTCAGTGCTCGCTCTTTTTGTAGTTCAATCACCTTCCCTCCATGGCCATGATCATATCTATTAACGGGAACCACACATGGGAGGATTCCTTCCCAGCGATGTTTTCACATTTTGCGAGTGGTTCATTTTTCTCAGCTTGAAATACCGCCTCAAGCACAAAAACTTCGGGCACATTGACCGATGAAGATCGCTGCCACGTCACTTGCGTCAACCCCACCTGCTAATGCATGGCGGCCGAAGCGGTCACCTTCATCAGCAACCTCAGGAGTGAGACCCTACCTAGCCTGAACTTCTAAATAGCGGTTCTCTGGAACACATTGAATCTCAATTGGAGCTTAGATTGTCCATTTCTGTCACTGCACCGAACATCTGCAGCGGTTTGCGTTTGCTATCATGACTCCATCCAGCCAAGTGCCAGGCTCCCATATCAAGCCTTGGGCTCGACCCAAGGCCTCAAAATACTGTTTCATCAATGCCAACGTGCTTGACATGGAAGATGGAGTGGTCTATACAGACTCTTTGGTGATTACCTGCGATGGTAAAATCCAATTAGTGAGTATACATAGCCCGAAGTCTATCCCAGTCGACGCAAAAGTGATCGATTGCCAAGGTCGCTTCCTCTGTCCGGGACTTTTTGATGCTCACGTACATCTTTGCGCTGTCCCTGGCTTCAAAGACCTGTCCAAGGCATTTGGGAACACTAATGATGTTCACTTGCTTCGACAGCCCTACACAGCCGCACAAATGCTGCACCGCGGATTCACCAGCATCCGTGATTGCGGTGGGGCTCAATTGGCCATGAAAGAAGCCATCGAAGACGGTGTTTTCCCCGGTCCTCGGATGTTTATATCCGGTCATGCCCTGTCTCAACATGGTGGCCATGGAGATCTTCGAGCCTCCCATAACCAGATCCAGTGCTGTGGCGGGACCCATCACAACAACAGTCTAGGGCGCCTCTGCAATGGCGTACCAGAGTGCATGGCTGCTGTACGGGAGGAAATCCGCTGTGGCGCCGACTTTATCAAAATCATGGGCTCTGGAGGCGTTGCCTCGCCCACTGACAAGCTGGAGCATCTTCAGTTCACATCTGCTGAGATCCAGGCAATGGTGGAATGTGCCGAGAATGCCGGGACCTTTGTCACAGCTCATGCATATACAGTCAAGGCTATCCGGCACTGTATCGACAACGGCGTCAAGGGTATTGAGCATGGAAACTTTCTAGATGCCTCAACGGCCAAGCTGATGGCCGATAAGAACGTCTATCTTACTCCTACTCTCATCGCATACGCTCAGATGGCGTCGGACCAGTGGAAGGGATACTTGCCTCCAGAGTCGCAAGCCAAGAATTCTCAAGTCTTGACCTCGGGACTACAGGCTTTGAGAACTGCCGCAGATGCAGGCGTCACAATGTGTTATGGCTCTGATCTACTCGGCCCACTTGGCTCTGCGCAAACCGGAGAATTTGCGCTTCGTGCAAAGGTCTTGACTCCACTCGAGGTGCTACGAAGCGCAACTATCAATCCAGCGAAGATGATGGGATGTGGAGATTCAATTGGTCAAATCAAAGATGGATTCGCAGCTGATATCCTTATATTGGCTGCGAATCCTCTTGAGGATGTAACAGTTCTCGATGATCCTGAGAAGTACGTCCTCGGCGTGATGAAAGACGGTCGAGTTTATAAGAGTCGCTGGAATGAGCTTCCCGAGGACTGGGAGATTCCTGTGCGAGTCAAGTACAACTAGACATCAGTGGAGGATGTCTCGGATGCGTCTTGGTTCTAGGGGCTCTGGTTCAGACTTTGGTCTTCTGAACATACATACACAGGACAGTATGACACCACATACTGAAATTGTCCCCCCCCCATGAATCGAATGTCCACAAGCACTCAAGAATTCTTGCTCGAAACAGTATGAAATCCAGAAAGGAAACACAGCTCCGGGCTGTCCGACAAAGAACGGCATCATCTTGGCTATCTGATTTCCGCGGACAGCGTATTAGTACGCACTTGAGCGTCTTTACTCGCTGGGAGAGGGCGTTGACCTCAAAATGGAGCCATCAATGCAAGGGGTGATCACCCTGGCGACCTCCACTCGAGGACACTCTGATTGCTCGTGCCCATGGAAGCAAGAGAGAACTCTACTACTGCATCAGACAGGGCTAGATATCATCAGCACCGTTTTGGTGTCAATATGGAGAAAATCAGGCGGGTTCCATTGCAGTGCGATGAACATGTGTAGGATATGTTTCCAAAGATGGCCCCAGATTTCGATCAGTGTCCGGTTGTCCACGAACATTGTTCGGACGGGTCATGAAGAAAGGATCCACCATGAGCAGATCAAGGTTGATACTACTGAACGCGCAGATCCCATTGTATCGCCCCATTATTCGTGCCTGTCCCGTGATTCGTGAATGTTTCGATCCGCAACAGCGGAAGGATGCTCCGAGTTGGGGGCGGCGCGCTTGCGGATCTACATCTTGCTTTCCGTTTGAGGAAACTGGTGTCTTCGAACAACATCCTCGAAAGATCGGTCTTCAAGGGCCCAAGACATCGAGATAAACAAATTCCCAGCCAGGCAGGATCGTCTTCTAATGTTGATTTTGCAGTCAAGTAGACGAAGTGTTTCAAGTTCCTGAACCATATTGTCCGACTCCGTGGCCCCATATTCCCAAAGAAGGAATTCATCACTTCCATGTCATGGATAGCATGGCACCGGATTAGCAGCCTCGCATCGGTACTTCGGACGACCTACCATGGAGGAAAATGGAGTGATTTAAAGTGCTTGTGATCTCCCTCAATTTGATCTCTTCCAATTATCAAAGATCCTTCAATCTTTCAAGAATCGCCATGTTTGCTCGATTCCTCCTTCTAGTCTCGTGCGCCGCACCACTCTTCGTCCAGGCTCTGCCCGCCACAGTCGTCGAAGATCTGGAGTTGGCCAACATCACCACTGCCGGCATCGCCAGAACTCTTGTCAAACGAGACGAGGCCTGCCCCGACGCCACCGGTCAAGGGTCCCAATGGGTCAACCACGACGATGACGGCACCGGCCACTACACGGGATCGTGCGGTGATTCAGGACACAACTCGCATCACTGCTGGAGCGACGTCTACGTGACCCAGACGCAGGTCCAATGGCAACCCTGGCAGGATTGCTCAGACTACATTGATTGTGCTCACGCGACTTCCTGCTCCATCGCCCATACCAATTCCATCCAGGCGTGCGCAACCTGGTCGACCTCTGTTGGATTCAGCGCGGGGATTACCAGCGAAGTCCTGAACATCGGTGCAAGCTATACTTCGGAGCACGGGGGGTCATCATGCACGACGAGCTCAAACACTTATAGCCTTGGATGGTCAGTTTTGAATCATAAAAGCCTGCAAATGTTACTCGCACACACAAGTTCACAGCCATGCTAATATGCGTATCTGGATCTCCTGCAGGAGCAACAATCAATGCCACAAGATCGTTGCCACCCACCAATACGTTCGAGTCTGGGGATACGTTCGTCGCACCTGTAACTCACCCCTGAACGGTGAGCCTCAGCGCGGTGATGGCGATTACACGTGAGTTGTTCCCATGATTCTCAAACTTCTTGAATTTCTTCCGAACTAACAATCGAATTTTCCAGTCGTGGCTGGACCGATTGGCAAGCGGACTTCCCTACCGGGAAGTGGGACTACAGCGGCAAATATCACTGCAGCACCGACGCCAGCCAAAGAATGCAGGATCTTCCTGCCGCCAGCCAGGTCTATCGTGTTTGGTCCTAGAGCCTCGAAGGAGTTCACGGGTGGAAATATCGCCGCCGACACATTGTTGAGAGTGGAAGGTCCTTGTCTACAAAACGAGCGCTGAATTTTGACGAATGAACATGATGAATATTAGTATTCCTCGAGCATTCCCTGCCTCATTTGCGCCGGGACTCATTAGTATAGATGTTGCTGTACCTATTTCTTTTTTCTCTTTGCGAAAGGGCTATAACACGAAGCGATACAAGTTGTCATTCGATGTAGCTCAAAACATTCGAGTCAACCCAGTCGAATGTCCATCTTCTCGAAGAAGTCGATGAGACTTGTAGGCGCAGAGCTTCCCTATATTCTGTATCCGACCACACCTGATAAAACTAAATTAGCCTCGATTGTCATCGCACGATCGAACTTCCTAGAAAACGAAGCCGTGTTCACTCATTGATAACAAAATTGAAACCGGCGACCACAAAATGGCTTAACATCCACAAACCGGAACCTGTCAAGAGTCCGAGGCGTCACCGGGCAGTAACCTTAGTATTCTCGACCAGGTTCAGAGAAGACTGGTAGGTACCTACTGAAGCGGTCTAATTCTAATACTAAAAGAATGCTTAGAAGCCTGTGCCTATAAGATTATCGCCGTCTGTATCATTGAACGCGTCAGATATTGAACTCTTATCTAAGTCAGCGGATACAAATACGAAGAAAGGGCAAACTGCACAATGGTACGGGAGGGGGTTTTTGGCTGCCAATTGAATGAGACCAGACGGTACTTTACTTGAGGTTCGGTCTGTTCCGTGTCAGATGAGGAGGAGAAGCAGCATGTTGATCAAAGTTCACAACGCTATCATGCTCTCGCTAGAGGTCGGTTAGCACACGTCGGTGGTGACTCGAGAGAAAGGAGCACGATTGTAGAGATGATTCAAGAAGCGAGATTCAGAAGTTTGCTGTCTGGCTCAATTTAGGATTGTACGCTCAAAGGGGGCTTCATGTTCGAGGTTGCCGGCAAGGTCTGACAGGGCTGGAGTGTCAAGACACTGTAGTCTTGTTGATGTCGAAGTGGCGTTCTACACTGGGAATGACGGTTGGGTATTTGTTTTGGATTGACAAAATCAGATCATTCCTGGGAGTTTATAAGGCCATCGTCTAGCAGGACAGACAAAAGTGAAGGGAAAAAAAACAAAAGATGTCCATTCTACAACAACCATCTCAAATTCTAGTAGACCTTGTAACCCCCAGGCATCAGCTTCTGGAAGACCTGGG